CCCCCCCCTGCCACGGAGGCACTGCTGGGGCGCGCGGCACCCCACGCGTGCAGCAGGGCAGCAGCTTGGCGCCAGGTCATGCAGCAAAGTGCTGCATGGGGGCCCCAGCACGCGGGGCTCGCCCGCGCGCATGCATGCTGCCAACCCAACTGCTCACCAATACGCACCAGGCCCCACACGTGAGGCCTCGTGCTTCCCTGTGCATGGATCCCTCCCCATGCATGGATCCCTGCCCATGCACATCCCGTCCTCAAGGAAGAATTCTTCTCTGTGCATGTTCCTGCCCCATGCATGTCTCCATGTCTCTAACCCTAACCCTTAACTCCTAACCCTGACCTAACCCTAACCCCTAACCCTACCCATACCACTAAAGCTAACCCCTAACCCTAATTCTAACCCTACCCTAAACCTAACCTAACCCAACACTAACCCTAACCCCTAACCCTAACCCCTAAGCCTAACCCAACCCTAATCCGAACGCTAACCCCACCCAAACCCTAACCCCTAACCATAACCTAAATGTAACCCTAACTGTAAACTGTAACCTAACCCCTAACCCTAACCCCTAACGCTAACCCTAACCCCTAATGCTAACCCTAACCCTTAACCCTATCCCCTAACCCTAACTCCTAACCCTAAACCCCTAACCTAACCCTAACCCTAACCCTAAACCCTAACCCTAGCGTTAACTCTAAACCTAACCCTAACCGTACCCTAAATCTAACCCTAAGCCTAACCCTAAACACTAACCCTAACCCTAACCTAACCCTAACCCTAAACCCTAACCCTAAACCCTAACCCTAACCCAAAAGCCTAATCCTAACCCTAAGACTAATCCTCACCCTAACCCTAAACCTACCCTACCCCTAACCGTAACCCAAAACCCTAATCCTAACCCTAAACCCTTAACCCTAACCCTAACTCTAAACCTAACCCTAACCGTACCCTAAGTCTAACCCTAACCCTAAACTTAACCCTAACCCAAACCCTAAATCTACTGTAACCCTAACCGCTAACCCTACCCTAAACCTAACCCTAACCTTATCCCTAACCCTAGTCCTATCCCTAAACCCTAACCCTAAACCTAACTCTAACCATACCCTACCCTAACCCTACCCTACCCTAACCCCTAACCATACCCTAAGTCTAACCCTAAACACTAGCCCTAACCCAAACCCTAACCCTACCCTAAACCTAACCCTAACATAACCCTGATGCATACCCTAAACCTACCCTAACCCTAACCCGAACCCTAAAGCCTAACCCTAACCTTAACCTTAACCCCTATTCCTAACCCTAAACCCTAACCCTAACTGTACCCTACACTAACCCTACCCCAACCCTAACCCTAACCTAACCCTAATTCGAACCCTAACCCTACCCTTGCCCTAACCCTTAACAGTAACCTAACCCCTAACCCTACCCTAACCCTAACCCTAACTCTAAACCTAACCCTAACCATACCCTACCCCAACCCTACCCTATCCTAACCCTACCTGAACCCTAACCCTAACCCCTAAGCATACCCTAAGTTTAATGCTAAACAGTAACCCTAACCCTAACCCTAACCATACCCTACCCCAACCCTACCCTATCCTAACCCTACCTGAACCCTAACCCTAACCCCTAAGCATACCCTAAGTTTAATGCTAAACAGTAACCCTAACCCTAACCCTAACCATACCGTAACCCTAACCCTGACCTAACCCTACCTCTAAACCCTATGCCAACCCTACCCTAACCCTACCCCTAC